ACAATGATTTTCTAGTTATCAGAATAAATTTTTGATAATCAAATTGATTATTTGTGTAGTGAAAGTTATACTGATAAGAAGTTACAAAGTATTTTTCTCATTCTAGTAGATTTGTACTCTTTGATACTCTTTGAATAGAAATATTTCTGTGATGTTTTGCATTGAATCGATTTTTATGTATGAATATAATGATCATTGTCATTTTGTCTTTCAATGCTTTTAATCTGTATTTAGATAATTCAGAGATGAAAAATAGTTTATCGATTGTCAAAAATATGCGTGATGATTATGAACGTTAGTTGGTGTTGTTGTTTTGAATATCTTCATGTATTTGAATTTACGTGAGGCGATTACAGTTAGCGAATTATGTCATTATTTTTTTTTCTAAAAAAAGTGTTTGAATGATGTTATTCACGTTTCAAATTACATGGCTCAAGACCGTTTGCAGTGGCGCCAATGCATTTATTCTTTGTGTTCTCTCAAATCCTAATCTTCTGGATTCTTCAACCCTTCTAGTTTTGACTTTCTAAACTTTTCTCACTGAACCATATTTCTTGAATATCTTCTAATCCTAACCTCTCGGATTACTTCTAATACCTTTACTACCTCTTCTACTATTGGATTTGAATTGACAATTATATCTCTGTGCTGATGTGGTATGGCAACATGAACTGATGTACTTACGTACCAAGTTCTACGTTGCATCTGACTGACTGACTGATTCACGTTTCACTCAATGTGACCTCATCGCCATCATCATCATATATAACTTTTAACAAAATATTGAATTTTGTGATCAAATGTTTAGGACGAATACAAAGGAGAATATCTGATTTTGACGAATATGAGGAAAAGTTAAAAATGATCACAGGTAATCAATCATTTGAGTGATTATTTCACATTATTACTGTCAATCTCATCGATAAATCAAAAGGTATCGCATAGATTATAAGGAGACTATGTCATTTAGAAATCATTGTTAAATGTATTTCAATTCGGATAAGTTTATTTCACTTCCTCCTGACTGATTTTAACTAAGTCAAATTAATCGAATTCAATTCAACATGAATGTGAACAAATGTGGTCATTTTGATTGAAATGATTTTGTAGAATAACATCGCATTACATTGCACTGCACTGCACTATGCAAGATCTAACAAATGAGAATAAAAATCTGTGCTTTAAATATCTACTTATGCAGTTTCAATTCTATCGTGACAAAATTTGAAGCTTTTGAAATCATGAATCGATCAATGTTAGACTACTATTAAACTCATCTGGAAGCACTAGACAGCTGTTTCGTCCTGTACTCACCGCAGACAGTATATATGCTTGCGCAAGATCGTCGAGCATTGATCGAGGTTAGACATTAACACCGTCAGATACCGGCTCAATGGTCCAGAGGTTAGGCGTTCGCGCTCAAGACCGAAGGTGCTGGATAAGCACTGCGACTGATGAGTCCCATAACAGGACTTAATGGCCGTCAAGTGCTTCCAGGTTTCTAATTGTGGTCTAACAATGATTGTGATTCATGATTTCAGTAAAGTAACCCAACAACAGTCTCCTTAACCTCATAATACAAAATCGAATGTACTAATCATACGGACAAACTTTCTTACATTTCGTAAAAATCATTGTTATTCCTCATCGATTTTTCGCTTTTTTATTTTCATTGAATGGGCGATAAATGAAGCTGAAATCAATGAGAAACTTACAATTCAAAATCAAACAATCGATAAATGTATGTGATGGTATTCACTTAATTATTCATCATTATGCTTTAAAATATCATTCTCCTCTTTAGATGTACACTGTGAAAGTCAACGTTTACTGTCGAAGTATGCTGCATTCATTCCAGAAAGTATGAAAGAATATAAATATTTTTATGAATTTTCCATGTGATTAGACCAATATATATACGTATCTATAAGTTAGTTACATTGATTACGATATTCAAAGTCATTTCTCAGTAAGCAAATATCATGTTCAATGTTCATTAGACATTGTGTGGTGCGAGCTACTTATAAGTAGTATATGACGTGAGTGTCAACGTAATGTCTGGCAGCAGAAGATGGGGGAAGATCAAGAAAGGAAGAGCGGGAACACAATGGGATTTGTATGAAACGCATGAACAGTGAAATGTCAGACAATGGATTGATGTTTTGCAACAGGAACAGTCCAGTTCGATATGATGGAATGATATTTTGAATAATAACCATTTACGATATGGTTTTCCTATTTTACTGAGTAACTCTGTAATTTTCGTTAGATACAATTCGATTGCCCTCACCTGTGTTCTCCTTCACTACAATTGTAATACATGTATACAGCATAATTTGTTTTCTTCTAAAGTAGTAAAAGAATCAAAGAATCGATTTGTCCAAAAACAATATTTCAACAAACATGTTCATCATTTCAATTTGATTTTTGTTAAATAGTTTCGCTAAATGTGTATTCAATGAATTGTATTCATTGTTTCAATAACATTGTCTCAATATACTGTTTTAGATTTAAATGAATGGATTGAACAACAAGAACAGCATTTGAGTATGTGTGTTTACTGTCCGTTTGTTTTTCAAATAACAATAGATGTAACTGTTTTAATCGTCGTCATCAGTGGCAGTAGAATATATCATCATTCTTGATTGATTGGCAATTTTCGAATAGCCAGTCATTTGAATACACTCATGTATTTCTTTATTGATCAAACGTTTCCTAATGTATCTGCAATGATGTATGTATTTTATGTATGTTGATATTTCAAATATTCATTCATTGTTACTGAAGACAGAACCTTGCCGAAATCTTCCAATTTCACAACGTGTCTCTATACATCAGCGGCAAATTTTACGAGTAAGCGAGTTTGTTTGTTTGTTAGAACGATTCAACCTTGTCTTAAACAAAACTTGATTATTTATTTGCATTACGGGGTTGTGAAGATTGTTAAGTTACACATTTTTTTGAAACCATGAATCGATCAATGTTAGACCACCATTAGAAACCTGGAAGCACTGGACGGCCGTTCGGTCCTGGTATGGGACTCCTCAGCAGTGCGCATCCACGATTCCTACACCCCGCAGGATTATTCTTTTCTCAAATTACGATGACAATTTCAATCTTAATTTATTTAAAATATAAAAAAGAAAGATTTCGTATTTTATAGTTGTTGACTAGGATTCTTTCTTAGTACGACATTTGTGTTAGTATGAGCACTGGCATCGTCTGAGTTTATATCTCCCTGCAATTAATATTGAGCAAGGGAGCTGATGAGTTTTGTGAATAAATACTAGACCCTTTTGTAATTGGATACCTTGATACTGCGAATACATTTGGTAAGGATTAAGTTTATCGATTGAAAAGGTTATCACTTATCTTGTATTCATCATCTTATTGCAAAATCACTCGGTGTTTGACACGACTGATCCTCGGGGTTCAAATTTCGATCTGGATATGAGATTTGCTATGCATGTAAATTCAACTGATCGTTCGTTCCTTGATTGGACGAAATCTTCAGCCTAGATTCCATCACCAATCACAACTCTTCGGGTACATGACAAACATGGTTTCTTCTGTTTTTAATCCTCTTGGGATTTGTTGACACATTCAGTAAAAAGTAAATTCTAGGGGAAGGGAGACAGATAATTTCGTTTATTATGAACCATTCATGCTTACCGACATTTCTATGTGTAAACTATTCATTACGTATGCAGAAACAATACAATCATATCTGTGAATAGCTCACTAAACATTACTGTTGACTATAAAATCTATCCTAGCAAACAATTTATAATACAACCCTTATTCAACCGATTCATTCACACATAACTGTTAGACGATAGACAGTAGCAAACCAAATGATAACTTCACTGAGGCTGACAACTTTGGCATGTATGTTTACGGATAGTTGATTGCACACACACGCAATATAACAAATAACCGTAACATGTGATGAATACTGTGTGGTACTAAATCTGCAATCGACAAATCGATTTCGATTACATAAACAGGTAAAATTTTCAATTTCTTTCAACTGATTTAGTAGCAGTAGTAGCAGTAGTATGTTGATGTGTGTATATTTTCTTCACCATTTAATAGAGTTACATATGAATCACAGTAAAGAAAATTGTCAAAAATTGATACCAACTAGTCTAATAAGTAATTTAAAATCTATTTTTTTAATTAAAGTAGTTGAAATGAATTATGATCGAAAACAATGTATTCTCATTGATTATTTTCAATATCATACATAGAAGTGTATTTCACACCATGCATAATTGACTTCCATTTGAATGAATTATTATTCTCTCTAAGTTAAAGGTGTTGTTTGGGGTGAATTACTGTAGATTTGTGAAAGTCTAATTGTGAATGTCTTCTACATATTTTTATGCCTTTGTTGAAATTGTGATGCATGAAATTTAGGCGTAAACAAGCCATAACCACCAATTTAAGGGCGAAGAATTCATGTTGTGTTGTAGCGAAATCCAAAGCACCGATAAAACTGACCACATGTTGAATTATCATACTAACATGAAGGGATTAGTTTCAACTTTGATGGAATTCGATTTTATTCTATAGAACACCAATGAAATATCTTTCTGTAGACAACACTGATGCATGAAAAGCGCACTGTACGAACGAAATATCATCTGTGTGTGCGTGTGTGTGTGTGTAATTTTGCATAGAACACATGTCATCTAGTTGCTTTTATCATGAATTACTGTGATGTATTTGTATGGGTGTATTTCATCAATTTTTGGACTCAACTGTTGTAATAGTTCCAGTTGTGTTTCCTGCTGACGCAATCATATTCACTTTTCAGATAGTACTGATGATCTTGATGAAGTACTGAAAACGCAACAAACCAATATTTATTTGTATAACAAATATTTACGTAAGTACAAAATGCATTAACATTATTAGACTAGCTATTGAATAGTGGTGTTATTTACCGCCAGCTAAAATAATTGAAATCTGTTGTTTTTCCCCGCCTTAAATTTCAGTTTACTATATCAAAACAACAGAATTGGTTAATGAAACAAGAATTCAAAATCATGAACGTAAGTGAATAGCTACATTGATTGTGGTTTTCCACTGAATGTGTATCCATCTCATTTAAGATTAATCTCGTTCACTGTTGGATCAGAGTAAGTTCTGTATCGCATCCAAAGAAAACCTTGGATAATAAATGCAACAAGGAGATGGACACCAATAAGATTACTTCACTTTCTTACTTACTTACTTACCTACGCGTGTTACCCCAATGGAACATAGGCCACTGACCAGTATTTTCCAATCCACTCTGTCCTGGGCCTCCCTTTCCAGTTCCTTGCAATTTTTCTTTTTTGTTCTTCTCATATCTGTCCTAATTTCTCGGTATAGTTTATTCTTCGGTCTTCCTATTTTCATTAGGCCTTAAGGATTTCAAATGAGGACTTGTCCCGTGACGTATTCCGGTACTTGCCCCAATCCGGTCCTTCCTGGTTTCCTCCTACAATGGAATTTAGTTCATTGTATCCCACACTAGGTTGTTGCTGATAGTGCTGGACCAACGGGTCCTCAGTATTTTACGAATAAAACCGTTATTGAACACTTGTATGAGCTGGATATTGGCTTTGGTAGTTTTCCAAGTTTCCCCCTCATTCAGTATAACTTTCTTGACACTTGCACTGACGATTCTGACTTTGGAGTTTGGTGACAGTTGTTTTGAGTTCCAGATGTTGTTCAATTTTAGAAATGCAGTCCTTGCTGTGCTTAGCCGTGCCTTTACATCAGATGCACCTTGCTCGTCAATGATGCTGCCCAGAAATGTAAAGCTTTCTACATCATCTTCAAATGTGATCTGGTTGGTGCATGTAGTGTTGTTGTATTGGAGAATCTTGTTTTTCTCTTTAAGAATTCTTCATTATTTCCATTTCCTACCGTTGTTTACTACTCTTATATTCTCAAATTTATTACCCTCCCTCGTCAAGAGATTCAATTTTACATGAAATGTTTTCTAATAATACCCATCCAGTACTTAGTTCACATTGATTCTTCATTCAATAATGATTGTAAATGATTTAATTTTTAATTTTTTGACTATTAAGATGTTCTAATCAAAATGTTTCACTACATATGATTTGATAATTTCAATCAGTGACTACTATACAAAATCATTCGTCAAATATGTAGTAAATAGCAAACTAATCAATGAGTTATTTTGAGATAAGCGAATGAGTACGATTATTACTTCGATAAAACCAACATACTTCACAGTTTCTCAATTAAAATACCTGTATTAGGGGGTTGTGAAGATTGTTAAGCTTCATTTGAAACCATGAATCGATCAATGTTAGACCATCATTAGGAACATGGAAGCACTGGACAGCTGTTTTGTCCTGGTATGGGACTCATCTGCAGTGCGCATCCACGACTCTTACACATCACAGGATTCGAACCCAGGACCTTCGGTATTGTGCGCGAACGCCTAACCATCGGACCACTGAGCCGGTACCTAACGGTGTTAATGTCTAACTTGATCAATTCACGGAGTTGCGCAACCTCATACACAGTCTTCGGTAGTTACTGTCTACACCCAAACAGGTTGAACTTCACTGGTCACGTCTTCCCACTAGAACTCGGAGTTGTGAAGATTGTTAAGTATTTTTGAAACCATGAATCGATCAATGTAAGACCGCCATTAGAATCCTGGAAGCACTGGACGGCCGTTTAAAATATTGTCTGAAAGCTTTCTAGTTCAACAAATTTACGGTGAAATTTGTATTGATGAGTACATTTCATTTGAAAAGTCATTCAAAGAAAGAGCATAAAACGAGAATTTTAATTTTATTTGAAATTATAGCATTTGATGTTGGAAATCACCAGCTGATTACTCTCTCTAATGATGACAAAAACAATGAAGAAATGATCAATTTTTTAAATTTATTCAACATTGGCTTATGGAAGGTATTATCATCACGTGTCAATCATCCATTTCCTCCGCCCCTGCTGTACACGATGCCGAAGAAAAATAAAACCAACGTAAACATTGATATTCTTTGACATTTGTTCAATATAATTGGAAAATAAATAAAACGCTGTGTCATTATTTCCATTACGAAGTTGTGAAGATGGTTAAGTTACATATTTTTGAAACCATGAATCGATCAATGTTAGATCACCATTAGAAACCTGGAAGCACTGAAAGACGGCCGTTTCTTCCTGGTATGGGATTCCTCAGCAGTGCGCATCCACGACTCCTGCACCCCGCAGGATTCAAACCCAGGACAGTAAAAAGATTTTCAAAAATAAAATAAACTCGATCAAGAAAAATTGTTTTGAAATATTATTTCAATGTCACCTAACCATGTTCTATCCCTTTATATATATCTTCGATAATGGAAACAATCCAACACCAAAAACAGAAGAATTTAACCTTCCAAAATACCTAGAAAATTATTTTTTTACGCCGTACATAGTCGGATGTTACAGATAACAATGTGTATATCAATAAAGTATAATCTAGTGGGTTATGTAACATTTGCAGACATCAAAATATTAATTGTAGTTGAATGTGGCTGACAGGAAAAGCATATAAAATTTGATTAAACGTTGTTTGGCTGATAAAAACTTGTCTGATAAAAAAAATTGATCACAACTGTGAAAAGGACTATTAATTTCTTGATATTGATCACTACTGATCTAGAGAATAATCATTAGTAGACATGAAAATCATAATTCGAGATGAAATAAATCGATGAACTATCTATCAGTACAGCTGCTTACATGAATCTCAGACTATAGAACAAATAATCAGTCTTCTTAATAGATAACGTGTAAATACTTATCAGCTTAAGTGCAGGCTGATAAAAAGCCTACGCAACGACCGTGAATAGTGGTGGGTGGCGAAACCAAAAACGATGGAAAAGGCAGCGGCGATAGGCAACAGTAGACAACTTTTCCGCCTTGTAAAGGAAACCGGTATTAGGAATCCTAGTGTAAGTGAGACTATCTCGGAAAAGGATGTCCTAATAATTCTTTCTCAGTTTAGGAGATTGGATCGATGGGCAGAAAACTTCAGGGATCAGTTAAACTAAACGTCAGCCACACTTCAGATGACTGCGATCTGCAGTCATCCTGAATGGCAAGTCGACGTAAGTCCTCCGAACCATTATGAAGTTGAAAAGGCTATAGGAAATCTGAAGCGAAGGCGAGCAGCAGGTCCTGAAACGCTTATCCCTGAGATTTTTAAGGATGGTGGTCCAGGTTCTGCAGCTAGATTGACTGAAATCGCAAGTAGAATCTGGGAACTGGACAAAATCCCATTCGATTGGACTCAATCCCTGATTGTCCCTATTTATAAGAAAGGACAAAAGTCTTCTTGTGACAATCACAGGGGAAGAAGTCTAACTAATATAGTTTCTAAATTGTTAATCTCAACTACCTTCAGACGCCTAACTAGAACTCGTGAAGAGTAGACTAGAGAAAACCAGGCTGGTTTTCGACCTGGACCTGGCTGTATAGACTACATTTTCACACTACGACAGCTCTTGGAGCACAGATACACATTTAGGCGTCCTACAATAGTTGTCTTCCTGGACCTTAAAGCGGCATTTGACTCAGTGGATCGTGAGGTTCTGTGGTAGTGTCTGTCATTGAAAGGTGTACCAAAGAAGTACATTAACCATATACAAGCTCTCTACTCGAACACCACTGGTCGAGTGAGAGCTTATGGCGAACTGTCTTCGGAATTCTCTACTTCAAGTCTTGTCCGTCAGGGATGTCCACTTTCCCCATTCTTGTTCAATGTTGTCATAGACATGCTGATAGATGTAACCTTATCCTCGTCTGATTTTTTAGGAGTAGACCGTCTACCAGGAAAATCGATCACTGACCTAGAATATGCCGATGACATAGTTCTATTTGGTGAAGACGCTGACAAAATGCAGTCTTCTGACTACCATAAGCAACAATGCAAGCATATTCGGGATGCGGTTCTCACCCTCGATTTTCAAAATGTTGCTTCAGGATTTGGTTGCATCGGCACCTTCATAAGTGATAGGGAGTGAAGTAGTCGAACGTGTAGACCACTTCACTTATCTGGGGAGTCTCATCAGTGTTGATAGACTGGTGACTGACGGAATCTCAGCTTGGATACAGAAGGCTCGATTGGCTTTTGCGAAGCTGCATCACTTATGGCGCAGGCAAGATATCCGCTTACTAACCAAAGGACGAGTGTACTGCGCAGTAGTTCGCTCCGTTCTCCTATATGGATCAGAAACATGGCCGGTAAGAATAGAAGATATTTGCAGGTTACTAGTATTTGATCATACATGTCTTAGAAGCATTGCTCGTGTAACCTGGAACAACGGACTAAGCAATGCTGTCGTTAGGAAACGAATTCTTTGTAGGGATGGCAAACCAATAGATGAAATAGTGAAACTTCATCAGTTGGGGTGGCTGGGATATGTGCTACGAATGTCCAACCACCGACTGCCTCAACGAGCTTTGTTTGGTGGTGTAGGAGTAGTTTGGAAGAAAGTTAGGCGCGGCCAGACGAAAACATGGCAGAAATCCATGAAGTCACTGACAAGTGGACTGAGTGATGTTGGTAGATGTAGGCTACCTGGTTGGTGTCCGCGAGACGAGAGCAATCGTTGGTTAGAGACCTTGAATGGCATGGCTGACAATCGTTTGAAATGGCGCATGTGTATCCACTCTCTGTGCTCTCTCAAATCCTAATCTTCTGGTTTGGTCAACACCTCTACCTTTGCCTTTTTAAATTTATCTTAATGAATTATACTTCTCGAATCATATTTTCGCTCCCCAGTCTTCTCCATTACTGCTAATACTTCTACTATCACTATCACTCTTGGATTTGAACTGACAGTTGCTTCTCTGTGCTGATGGGGTATGGCAACCTGAACTGATGTACCTACGTACGATGTTATGAGTTGTATCTGTCTGTCTCTGTCTGAAAACTGTTAACTTTCTTTTTGACTATATATTAAGTAATTGCCCTCTTTTCCCATTCAGTCAAGTCTGCTAAGAGAATTAATTTTATTATGTACTGAGAAAATTCATTTCACGTTTGATGATGAACATTTCCAGCCAGTTGATGGCGTTGCTATGGTTAGTCCTTTGGAACCTCTCTTAGCTGATTTTATATGGCATATGCTGAATATTTGTGGAATGAGCGCATCAATAAGCTTACTCTTTATAGGAGATATATGGATGATATTTTAATTATGTGTGTTAAAGAACTCAACGTCTTTCAGTTACTGGACAGCGTTAACAGCCTTCAGAATGACAGTGAATTAACTCATGAACCAGAAAATAATAATCGATTGCCTTTTTTAGATATACTGTTGAGTCGAAGGGGGAATGGAACTATAAAGCGTTCTGTTCATAGAAAAACCAACGTGGACTGGATAGTATCTGAATTTCAGCAAATTTTGTCCACTGCAATATAAGCGAGGTTTTGGTGAAATGCCTCTTCAATAGGGCTCAAAGGATTTGTACCACGGATACATCTGACGACGATGCAAAGTTGTTAACTGAAGCATTGATTTCATCATAGGTGTAGAAATCAGTTAAGACAAAAGCAAGTGTTTGATTCTGCTGAGAAGAAAAAGATTTATATCACTTTACCATTTAGAGGTGAAGCAAATGGTCTAATAATAAGACAGAGACTAAAAGCAGCCATAGAGAAAACATACAACGCTGCTAAACTGATTATCATTGAAAAGACCAAATCCATGATTTCACATATACCTAAACGTTGCTCTAATGATTACATCACATCCCATTGTATTTATCAATTTACATGTTTGTGTGGACGCACATACATAGGGAGGAGTAATCGGACTTTGCAATCAAGGGTTGTGGAACATGTACCTAAGTGGCTTCAAAATCAGTTAATGTCAGATGAGCCGATTAGCGTCAAAAATAGAAAACCATGTTCATCGATCGCAAAACACATAATTGAGATAGGGCATGGGCTTAACATGAAGATATCCTTCAAAACAGTGAATAGAAATGTTGAAGGACGAGTTTTGAGGTTTATGGATGCCTTGGATATTAGAAAATTAAAATCCTCCTTATGTGTGAAGAAACAGTTTGTCATAACCTTGAATTTACCTTGTTAATCTTTAAGCCTAGGGGGTAATGTGACAATTTTCCTACCCCTTCTCATTCTCTTCATATTACGTTAATTTTCTCTCTCCTTTATTTACAATTATCACCTTATGTTCTATTTGAACTTTGATTTAATTGGTCTTTTATTCATCTTCATATAAAATGCCTTGACTAGTAAATATGTGTGACCAGATTGTTCAAAATGGATAGCACAAATACGTCATATTTTTCAGATCAATTACGTCTTCTCACTGTTCTATACAAATATTAATGAACAGTTGTCTGAGCAAAATTTTTCGGATTCGTTGGCCAGACACTATCAGGAACAACTTACTTTAGGAGGGAACAAACCAGATTACAGTGGAGGAGGAGATCAGGAAGAAGCGCTGGGAGTGGATAGGACACACACACTGCGAAAATCACCGAACTGTGTCACAAGACAAGCCCACACTTGGAAACCTCAAGGTCTACGATGTAATAATCAGCCGAGAAGAGTTCACTAAAATGAAAACAATGAACTGATATTATTCTAGAATTCAAATTAATTCATTAAACTACTCCGAAAGTGAAAATATTCAAAGTTTCAATTTTTTAAAATTGTACACTATATGTGTAGTTTTAATTTCAGAAATAAGTAGTTCGTACTAAATCATTCAAACGATAATATGATTTCTGAAATGATTTCTTTTTTTATTCTGTTCAACAATAATATATTACTCATAAGTAAAAAAAAGTTGAAGTTAAGATATGTTACTTCAGTCCACTGCATTACCCATGAGTAATACTTGACATAATGTGTTATATGAGTAGCATGAAATAATCATGTTATGTGGTGGTGTTTCGTTCTCTGAGCTCAGAGAACGAAACACCACCACAATCATCCACCTGAGCTACAAGTTTTCTCCACCATCTCATGATCATGTTAA